CGGCGCGTTGAGCAGCGCCCTCTGGCGGTCGGAGAAAACGCTGCCACTTCCGATTCATTTTGAGAATCGGTTCTTTGTATGATAAACAGACTTAAAAATTATTAATTCAAGAGCCATTAAACAAAGCACGAATGTTTCAGAAATGAACTGAGCTCTGAAGAAAGACTATTTTCTTAGTGCATTGAAATTCCCACAAGGCCTACACATGGGTTTGATGGCACTGTCCAGGTGTTTATTGTAATTAGAGTAAAATCTTCCCATTTCCATTCATGTCTCCATTCTTTATTTTTCTCCCATCCTAATCTGTGACACATTAGATTAGATTAGAGGTGTGTGGACTATCAGGCTCACACAAAAACATGACTGGACAATAACACTGATCCTTTTGTGACACAAAGCTGAAACGTGGCAATCCAATTTACATATAGGAAAAAGTGTGAGCTGTTAACTATACATGCAATTCCACCCATTGTGTTTAATGATGGCCACTTCACCCAGGCTGTTCAAGAGATTTTCCTGAAGCATTCAACTTTAATGTACGAGGTTACTGTGTTAAGCACACGTTCTGTCAGTAACCTGGGCATGTCTTCAAGATTCATTTTTTTATTTGCCTTCACCAAACAGAACCAACCCAGCAAATGCTGCTTAGATGTATCTGTTAGTGTTCATGATGACAGTAATCTACAAGTCTACAATCAGTTTTCAAAGTTTGGCTTGACCAGATTGGCTCTTAAACTACTTCATAATTTGACACATTTGTACTGCTAGTGATTCACACTTCCAAGCAATCAACACATATTTTGCGATCTCCAAGTTCACCAAGAAAGAAATTCATTTCAGCTTTACCTGCGCTTTCTAAACAGAAATAAATGGGCTACCAGTGTTTGTTGTGTCTTCTTCTTATCCCTGAATTCTCTTTATCCAGCAATAGGTTTTATCAGTATATCATCAAATATAATATTTGTTAGTATTTGTATTTAATATTTAATGATGTATAGTGCAATATTTAAACAAATGTAACATACTGTTGTGTGATTTTTCTAATATAGGCCTAAACATTTTATTTATTTTTTTTTCAAGTTTTCCATATCTGTGGTAGTGAAGGACAGAGCAGGATTGAACTGCAGTGGTGTGAAGGTCGTGAGGGTATTCCTTTGACTTCCTGTAAGTTTCTTTCAATGCATAAAAAGCACATTAATGGCAATATCTATAAGACATTTCTATTGAACTACTGATTCAAATGTATTTAGATAACAGTATCGTACTTTTCCGACAGTTTTTCCATCCAGAATGTGTCCATCTTTGAGAACCAAGGGTCTGATGGTTTCGTGGTATCTGTTCAAGCCAATCCAAACATTTCCTCAGTATTCTACATGTCTGTGAGATCATATCCACCTTCCACAACAGGACAAGGTAAGGAGAAGATCTGTCTCCCTCTTGTGACTGAAATGTCAAACACATCTTAAGACACTTGTGACCTGCTAACAACACACTTTTTTCATTCTTTTTGGTTTAATGGTTAGATGATGGTGTTGTCAGGACAGCATATAATCTGGATTTGGAAACGGAGAGATCATTAACCCAGACTGTCCACTTGGTCTGAGCCTTTAGTGCAGGGGTCACCAGACACGGTCCTGGAGGGAAGGCCGGTTAGATGCCCATCGTGGAACATCGTAGGTGTGGTGAACGCAGTTGATCGAGACTGGCCCTTTAAATCCCTCCAGCTGCTCATCTCAGACATCTCCGGAGGAGACTCGGGTTTCACCATCGATCCAGTCAGAGGTGAGATCATTGGATAATTCCAACTTAAATGCTCATAAATGGTCCATTATACTCAAAACATAATTTTAAACGATTATTTCAATTGCCCACCACAGTAATTACCTTTTCAAGTTACATCATTCCTGTTTTCTCAGAACCCAGAACTAGATTAGGAGGAAAAGCAGGATTTTGACCAGGATGTGGACAGAACTAACCAACAGACTGACCTCACTGTACAAGTTCAGGTCAGGCATGTTATGCTACTAAACTAAGATAAGCATTTAGATAAAACTAACTTATTAATGCTTGAAGCTTTAAAGCAGTGATGGGCAAACTTGGCCCTTCCAGGCCACTTTCCTGCAGAGATTTGATCCAACCCTGATAAAACTCACCTGCCTGTAGCTTTCTAGTAGTCTTGAAGACAATGATTAGCTGGTTCAGGTGTGTTTGATTAGGGTTGGAGCTAAACTCTGAAGGAAAGTGATCTGGAAGGGCCAAGTTTGCCCACCCCTGCTTTAAAGTGTAAGCCACTGTTTAACAACTGGGGCCCCGATTTTACACCAGATATAAAGTTAATAAAAATGTCCATAAAACATGTATTACAAATTGCTATTGTACTGGAGTAAACAAAAAATTATTAATTTATTACAAAATTGTATTGTACAAAAGTAAACAAAAATTTCCTTCAAACATTTTTGAAATATTTTTGCATTTACTACAAAATTGTAATGCATAAAAGTAAAATGTCAAACATTAAAACATTTTTGAATGTAGAAAAATACATTGTACAAAATAAACAAAATGCCTATAACATTTTTGAAATGTATCAAAATGTGCATTGCACCATTTCATTATATACAAGTAAACAAACATATCCTTAAAATGTCCTTTTTAATTTAATAAAATTATGAACTTCATAAGCAAAATAATATGAACATTTAAATGATAGGCATTGACAATTTTGTAAATACATAAACCACAGCAAAAGTTAAATACAAGAAATAAACACTGGGCTAAATAGTGTATTAGCCATATATGAAAAAAATATTAGTTTGATTGGACAAGACTTTTAAATGTTAATGCCTATTTATTTTGCTGCATAATTATATTACACTGCATTTTGTATTGTCACGACCCATCGGTTGAGAGTCAATGCCTTAAATCACT